AAAATTTAAAAAAAATAAACTGACAAGAGTGCTTCTGAATTAGGCACCCTATCAACTAGGTTCCATGAAATAAGATTCTGATCAATTCTACATAAAACAATCACAAGAAATTAGAAAATAAGCTGCACAGGTGACACAGGTATGTAATCCCAGGACTCAGGAGGCTGAGGCAGGGGGACTACCTCCAGTTCAAGGCCAGCCAAAACTACACGGTGAGTTCAAGGACAAACTGAACTGTCTTTCTCAAGAAAAAGTACAAAATAGTAAGTAAATAAACAAACAAAAAAGAATTAGAAAATAAAAACCTACACATTCCAAATAAGAAAAAGTCTTCCATAAACAGAAGAAAATTACAACGAAGTATTTCAAGCTTAATTATTCTCAAGATACACTTTGGTATACAAGAAGGATTTTAGGCTGGGGAGATAGCTCAGTAGAATAAGTGCTTGCTGGCAAGCACAAGGGCCTGAGTTCAATTCCTGGTTCAACAAAAAAAAAAAAAAAAAAAGAAAGTTTTGTGGGTTTTTTTGCTACTTCAGGCTACCTTAAGGGTGGGTCTTGTGCAGTTTCTGGAGCTGGGAACTGAACTGCGGTCTTATGTGCCTGAATGCATTTGCCCAAGTAGCACGTTATAAACAACTGAGGTATCTGGCAAGGCTCCAGTATATGAAAAAAACGTGAGTATCAGAAAGATTAAACAAAGATTTACTAACTTAAAGACAAAGAGAATATCCTATTAAATAGGAAAAATAAGTTAGAAGGTATATTCAAGAAAAGATATTCATAAAAATATAGTAAAGACAAGAAAAAGAGGGCCAGCCAGATAGCTCAGCTGATTAAAACAAAACAAAAAGTGTCAGGAGCTAGGAATATAATTTAGTGGCAGAAAACTTCCCTAGCATACCTGAGGGCCTAGGTTCAAGCCTTACCACAAACAGGGTTGAAATATAGCTCAGTGCAAAAGTCTTAGGTTCTATCACAGTTGAAAAAAGAAAAAAAAAAAGTCAGGGATGGTGACACATTCCTCTAGTTCCAGTATAGAAGAGACTAAGGCATAAAGATCACTTGAGCCCAGGAATTCACCAGCATAGACAAGATACCGAAATTCCATCTCAAAAAAATGCTAAAATTAAGGGGCCGGGGCTGGCTCAGTAAAATAAGCACTTGCCTGGCAAGCACAAGGGCCTGAGTTCAATCCCCGGTTCCTCAAAAAAAAAAAAAAAAAAAATGCTAAAATGTCTCAGGACTAGGAAGGTTGAAACAGAAGGATCCCTACAAGTTCAGGCTAGCCTGAGCTACATAGCTAGTTCAAGGCCAGTCTGAACTACATAACAAGATCTTGTCTCAAAAACAACAACAAAAACTAAAATACAAAATATAGGCCACATATATCAGTGATGCCAAGAAATGCATATGTGCTTAATCATTTATTTATTTTAAAAAGTTTAGTTCATAAAGCCAACTGCAACTGTACATAAAACCATACCTAAAATATTGATTTCACAACAATAAAAATAAAGGGATAATCCTTTTTTTTTTTTTGTATTTTAGGACAGAGCCTACAGGATCTCACTGCATAGATCAGACTCTTAGTGATCCTTCTGCTTATAGCCTCCCAAGGGCTGGGACCACAGACCTGCGCCACCACGCCCAGTCTCCATTACTGTCTCAGTAGGCCCCAGAGGCGGGGCCAGCACAACTAACTCCCAGCCCAGGCATCTGCCTAAGCAGGCACTTTAATCCGCTAAGCTATCTGGCAGGCCCGATAAAGGGACAATCTTAAAAAATATGTAATTCAGGATTCAGGCAAGACAAAGCCAAATCCTTACAAATACTGGGGATAAAAACTCCTAATTCACAGTAAAGATATGATGATTACAAAAGCCTTTTAACAAATACAGCAAATGCATACAGAAAAAGACACTATAGAAATTGCAACAATAGGAGACTCAAAACACAACACTTTTACTGTACGACAGTCCAATGGACAAAGAAGAAATCTGCTCAACAAAATAAGTCAAATGGACCTTACGGCTAGGCATTTGAGCATTTCAATTCCATAAAGAATATAATCCTGATCCCTTCACGACCAACGAAAAGACAAAGGAGCCAGTTTGAAGGAGCTCTTGTTAGACAACATGTGACAATTTTAACCACCAAAATAACTACCAGAGAGGAGAAAAAAAAAAGATGGGAGTGGAATGTAAACTGATAAAACAGAAATGCTGGGGTTGAAAAAAGTAATCACTTTGTAATCATCAAAGGAAAGATTAGGGGCCAGGGAGATGGCTCAGTGGAATAAAGTGCTTCCCTGGCAAGCATGCGTAAGGGCCTGAGTTCAATTCCGGGTTTCGCCAAAATAAATAAATAAATAAATAAATAAATAAATAAAGAAGGAAAGATTAGTTCAGGGAAGAATCACCAACTAAAGCCAAATATGCAGTGGTACACACCTGTACTCAAAGCTCTTCAACTAAAGTGGGAAGATCCCTGAGCCCCAGTTTTCAAGATCAGCCTAGGAAAATAACAAGATTCCATCTCAAAAGAAAAAAAAAAAAAAGAGAGAGAACCAGTCACACCCAGCGCACACCAGCTATTCAGGAGACTGAGGCAGAAGAATCAAACATTCTAGGCCAGTCTGGACTAATCAGCAAAGAACTATCTGCAAGTGAAAACTAAAAATGGATAACAAGAATGTAGTTGATCATAAGAGCACTTGCCTGGCAAGCCCTTTGGTTCAATACCTCATACAGCAACAACAAACAGAGCTCATCAATAAATGTTAGATGTATATCAAAAAATTTACTGATATTTGCATAATCTTGTATTCTATATAAATTATACCTTGCTCGTTAGATATTATTAATCCACATACTGGGCTGGAGAAACTGGACACTATAGTACTTACTCCACATGATGAAAACTAGTGATAGTAACAAGAGGTATTCACTGTATGGCTCTAGATCTGGTGCTCTGGAAAGGACCTATCAGCCGGTGTATGGTTATTTCAATGAGTGATGAACTTTAATTGAATCTAAACAGGAGAACAAACTCCAAACAAAAAAACAATCTTTAAAAGAGGCTATAAGACTGGACGCAGTAGTTCCTGCCTGTAATCCTAGCTACAGCACTTGAGAGGCTCAAAACAGGAGGATCACTATGAGTCTAATCTGTATAGTGAGACCCTGTAGTCCCTGTACTAAATATAAAACTAAATACAAGAGGCAATAAACAAAGCTAATCTATGTTCTTCAAAATTATAGATTATCAAAAGAAAGATAAAGGAATGATTCTAGATTAAACTAATGCAATATATGATCCTGGACTAAAAGCAAATCACAGCAATCAAAGCTGGAATATAGAACTGGGCGTGGTGGTGCACACCTGCAATCCCACAACTCGGGAGATTGAGACAGGAGAATGGCTTCCACTTTGAGACCTGGAGGCTACGAAAGTGAGCACAAGGTGAGCCAGATCTGCATAGTAGGACCCTGTCTCAAAAAAAAAAGAAAGGGGCTCGTGAGATGGCTCAGTGGTCTAAAGCACCTACTTAGAACAAGCTTAACAAAGCACCAGGACCGCGGTTCAATCCCCCAGCACCACATGCCAGCCAGCCACACCCCCCTGGTGGGCTGAGCTGGCCACACACACACACATAAATAAATAAAATAAAAAAGAATTAGTTTAAAAAAAAAAAATCTTGTCCTTTAAAAAAAAGAAAGCTAAAATACAGACATTATAGGAACGTATTCTCCCAAGGCTAAATTTCCTGAAATATGAAAATTGTACAGTAGTTTACCTACTTTACCTAGTACTACTACTGAGACTAATTAGGAATTATAAACCCAAGTATTAAGGAGTAAAAGGGACATGATATATACAAACAATTCTCAAACAATTCTGAAAAAAGCTACATGTGCATATGTGCACAAAGGCTATTAAAAAAGGTATAAAATGCTTAAAATTATTGCTACTGAACATAGATCAACTACCCAAGAATGTACATGCAGTTAAAAATCTAAACAATGATAGGAATGTAGCTCAGTAGTATAACAGTTGTCCAGCAATATTTGATAATCAGCATTATAAAACAGGGAGGTGGACTGCAGATACAGCTCAGTAGCAGAGCACTTGCCTACTATGCTAGGGACCTTGTATTCTTTACCTAGTACTACAAAAAACAAACAAGCAGTAGTGCACACCTATAATATTGGCAACGAGGAAGGCTAAAGCAAAATGATCACAAATTCAAGGTCAGCCTAGGCTAGCAAGTTCAAGGCCAGCCTGGACTACATCATGATCATTTGTCTCAAAAAACAAAACAACAGTGGATATATTCTAAAGTTTAAAAAAAAAAAAAAAGAAAAGAAAAGAAAAGAAAGTGAGCATGTGGGGCTGGTGAGATGGCTCAGTGGTCTAAAGCACCTATTTAGAACAAGCTAAGCAAAGCACAGGGACCACGGTTCAATCCCCCAGCACCACATGCCAGCCAGCCCCGCCCCCTGGTGGGCTGAGCTGGCCACACACACACACACACACACACACACACACACACGCAAAAAGAAAGTGAGCATGTGGATGTCAGCATTGAAAAAGAAAGGGTGTGCCAAGACTGGGCAGCTTCTGCCTTGTCTGCTTCTTTATGGGCTTCCAGAAGGGATTCTTGCTATATTCCATCAATGGATCATGCATTATTTCCTAGCAAATAAAAGTACCCTCTAGCTTTTGCTACAAATGGTAATCTTTCCATCCATTTTAAATGCAGCAAGTCCACATTGCCTATTCTTTTGGTTTGGGTTTTGTGAAAATGTCTCACTATGTAGTTCAGGCTAGTCTTGAACTCACTGTGTAGGTCAGGCTGGCCTTAAAGTCATGGACCCTCCTGCCTCAGCCTCCCCAGTGCTGGGATTAAAGGCACAGGCCACTAGGCCCAGCACACATTCTTACTTGAGTATAAGAAACAGCATGCATTTAGATATTGTCTTTGGTTTATTAATGCTGTTATAAAACACCTGAAGCTGAGTAATCATATACAAAGAAAAGGGGTTTATTCAGCTCAAGGCCTGGATGTTCAAAAACATAGCACTTGCACGCCTTCTCAGCTTTGGAAAATCCATGTAGCTGTCACATGCAGACCATGTAAAGAGACACTATAGTGCAAGACAGGAAGGCAAGAGGGAACAGATTTACTCTTTATTTTCTTTCTTACAGTATCAGGGATCAGAGTCTACTACTGAGCTCCATCCTAACCCTTTAAGACATTAGGGAGGGGTAGCTCACTGTGACAGGTCTCATGTGTAACATAGCCCAGACTAGCCTTGAACTTACCATCCCCTGGTCTTACCCTCCCAAGTGTTGGGGTTACAGGTGTGTGCTACCACGCCCAGCTTCAAAATGGTTTGTTTTAAGGCAGGGATTCACTATGTAGCTAAGGCTGACCTTGAACTTGAAGTGATTATCTTGTACCAGCCTCTTGAGTGCCAGGATTACAGGCCTGCACCAAGCCCAACTTCAAAACATTTTTAAGTACTCTTTTAAAAACCATCTTGGGGCCGGGGAGTTGGCTCAGTAGGATAAGCGCTTGACTGGCAAATGCAAGGATCAGAGTTCAATCCCTGGTTCCACAAAACAAACAAACAAACAAACAAACAAACAAAAAAAAAAACCATCTTGTCAGGGATGGGGAGATGGCTCAGTGGAGTAAGCACTTCCCTGGTAAGTGCAAGGGCCTGAGTTCAATCCCCAGTTCTACCAAAAAAAAACCCCTACCGTTTTGTCATACCTTGGCCAAAACACAGCACTAGCCATATACTGGTCTTGATCATCTGGCTTGTCAGTTATATTCAGCTCCCCAAGCCCTTCCTGTGGCAGACTCAGGACTCACGCATGCCAAGAAAATGCTCTCACTGAGCTAAGCCCCCTCTTGTATTTACCTCTTAATAAAAGGAAAAGAGCACAAGTTTTAGAGTCACAAAAATATATAGATGGGGGCCGGGGAGATAGCTCAGTGGAATAAGCACTTGCTTGGCAAGTGCAAGGACCTGAGTTCAATCCCTGGTTTCGCAAAAAAAAAAAAAAAAGAAAGAAATTAAAGCAATAATAAAAACATACAGATGTCAGTCCCCTATTTAAGAGTTAGCTGCATGATTCTAAGTAGACCTTTTGCTTCTTTACCTCATCAGAAAAACTGGAGGGTTAAAGCAAACAGTGTGGACAGCATGGAGTGAGGCACACGTGGCAGTATGTACATGGGTGTAATCAGTATAATCAGACTAGACTAGGAAACGTAGAGGCTGGCAGTATATCCTAATGTCACATTCCCACAACGTATCACACAGTAAGTGCATAACAATTATTAACTTACAAATTTCTTATTAATTCTTAATACCTAGGACAGATTCCAGTATACAGCAAGAATTTAATAATGTTCTTTTTTTTTTTTTTTTTCATTTTTCATTAGGGAAGGGTCTACGGGAGTCCAGGGTCTCACTATTAGATTGGACTCACAGTGATCCACCTGTTTATAGTCTCAAGAGCTAGGATTACAGGCATGCTACACCACGCCCAGTCTCAATCACCGCCTCAGCGCACCCCAAGGGCAGGCCCGGGATCAAATAATAATGTTCTAAACAAATGAAACTTATCTTAGTAAGAACAAACCTTTAAGCCTCGCTTTGTAGTGAAGAAATTAGAATAACCAGCATCCGTAGCCAAGAGTCCCACAAATTGTATTGAAGGGTGATTCCGTATAAAATGTTCTACGTCTCTATCAGTGATGTAAGTGCTCCCAGAAATGTCCAGGGACACAATATTAGGCAGGATATCTTTTTGCTGCAGCAAATAAAAACCTATGTCTGAACAGAGTTGTTTGTGACCAGAAATATCAAGGTGACGTAGACATTTAAGTTCTTTAATGACTGCAAAAATCTGTGATTTCGTCATGGCTAGGCATTTCAGATAGTGCATGGTCAGAGACTTGAGTCGATCCTTACAAGTAAGGAGTGCAGAGATGGTAGTTATCTGAGTATTAGAGATATCCAAGTTTTCCAGGCTTGGTAACTGAGAAACATCAGCAAGATCTTCACTATGAAAGCAAATATTGGAAACATTTAAAGTGCGAAGGCCGACGAGCTGACCAAAGGCCAACAGTCCTGAATTGAGAGGGACACTTGCTGAGTCTAAGAGGAGACACCGGAGGTTTTGCTGGATCCAGCTACTGCTGCAGAGTCCATGTATGATGTCTGGAACTGAAAGCTCAGAGTCTACTCCAGTAGCATCCACTTCAAGGAGCTTATGATGGCAGAAGCAGTTAATGAAGGCAGCGGCAGAGATTTTTACTCTTTGGATATTGGCCAGCTTCAGGTTCATTTGGTTGCCCTGGAAAATGCTTGCTGTCTTATCAGTCAGCTTTCCTGTAAAAGAAGCAGTACCAGTTTGTATTAACTACGAAAGCTTACCCTCTCCAGGATCCTTATGGGAATGAACAAGGACATGCTGTGTGCTGGCCTGTAGTCCCAGCACTCTTAGAAGCTAGGGCAAGAGGACAGCAATGCAGTTTCTTTATTTTATTTTTTTAATGTATTTGGTAGAGAGCCTCACTATACAGCTAGGACTCACAGTGATCCTCCTGTTTTCAGCCTCCCCAGTGCTGGGATTATAGGCATGTGCCACCATGCCTTGTCTCAGTGGCCAATTCAGCAGGCCCAGGGGCAGGGCCAGAGCAGCATGTGGTACTGGGGATCGAACCCGGTCCCGAGGTTGCCTAAGCATGCACTTAATCCATGAGCTATCTCACTGGCCAGAGAATGGCAATTTGAAGAACAGCCTAGGCAACTCAGTGCAAGTCTCAAAACCAAAAATAAACACAAAAGCGAAAGACAAGCCTCTCCAAAAAAACTACCGCAGTACTTAGTGAATCTTTGCATGTAAAATGGTCTATGATCACAATCACAAAAATTGACCAGACAGACTTCATAAAATCCCTAAAGAAAGGATAGAAAGCTGAATGTACTGCTGTACACCTGTAATCCCAGCACTTTAGAGGCTGAGGGAAGAAGATCACTGTGAGATTTAGGCCAGCCTGCACTGTGTAGTGAGACACTGCTTCAAATAAAAAATTAAAAAAATCAAACAGAAAAAAGGAGGGAAACAAAAAAAAAAAAAAAAAAAATCTCATTAAGCATTTATTTTTTCTTCTCAAAGTTTTATTGATAAACATATAGCAATAAGACAGTTTCAAATCAAATCGAAAGTACAGTTTCAACAAATAATACACTGCATATATTCTTCTTAGTGGTTACTTGCTGTACAAGATGCAGACTTGTGATCCTATTTACAAACACCATTAGAAAAAATCATTCTATTCATTAAGAGAATGCAACTATATATCTATCCCAACCACTTTGAATCACAGATACAAAATGGACATTCATAGTTATACCCCATTTTTTTTAAGTTCCGTTATTGAATATTATAGGTGTGTAAACTCAGCAAAATATTCTAAAAGTGTCCAGTAGCCCATAATAGCATTGGGTCTTCTGTTTAACTGGCAATGTCAGAAATTATTGACCTGCTGATTAAGCATTTATATCTAACATCCAAGTGATAGGAAATACTGGGATCAGAGAAACATGTCAAAATCTAGAGCATAATTAAACTATGGCAGCCACCTGAATGTGTGAAACTGTATGGAACAAGTGACCAGTTTCTTTTTCTTTTTTAATTTTTTATTTATTTATTTTATTTGTGTGTGTGTGTGTGTGTGTGTGTGTGGCCAGCTCAGCCCACCAGGGGGCGGGGCTGGCTGGCATGTGGTGCTGGGGGATTGAACTGCGGTCCCTGTGCTTTGCTAAGCTTGTTCTAAGTAAGTGCTTTAGACCACTGAGCCATCTCACCAGCCCCGACCAGTTTCTTTTAAAGCATACAAATACAGGGTCGGCCTGATAGTTCAGCAGACTAAAGCACCTGCTTAGGCAGAGCACAGTGGCTGGCCGGGTTTTGATCCCTGGCATGCTGTGCCTGCACTGCCCTCGGGGCACGCTGAGACAGCGACTGAAACTGGATGGTGGTGCAGACCTGTAATCCCAGCGCTTGGGAGGCTAAAAACAGGAGGATCAAATCCAATCTACATAGTGAAACCTTGTACACTCTGTCCTAAATACAGAAAAGAAAAAAAAAAAAAAAAAAAAGCATACAAATACATAGATGTAGGAAGCAGCTGAAGGTAGGAACTCCTCCAGTCAGGTAAACGAGCTATTTCAGCTTGCAAACAGGTTACTAGGTAAAGAGACTGAAACTGACATTAACCTCCTGAGTATATCGATAAAGGCTCTGCAATCCTTAGTCAGTTTTCTTCCCCAAGAGAAAAAAGGCTCCACCTGATCTTGCTTTTATATTTATTTCTTCAACCTCTTGCCATTTTTTCCTCAAACATCAAGTGCCATGCCAGTTCTGCAACACATAGATATTTAATACTTATATATTAAATTTATTGCAAAATTATTAGAAAGAGAAGCTTACTGAATAAAAGATGTTCAAAGCTAGTAATTCTTATTTCCAGTAGGTCTAGGGTCTAGAGGTCCCCAGACTCACCCTCACTGGGTCTGGCTGTCCCTTCAACATAAAGAGCAGTCAGAGAAGACCAGTACAATGCCAAAGTACTTTATATTACAGGTGTTGCAAGAGGAAGCAGTACAAAGCCACTCTAGAAGAGTGGCGGTACCCGGATCTTGGTCATTAACCTTTGGGGCTGCAGTTCTATTTTATGTGTTACAGGCCTAGTCTTCACCCCTTTCAAGGGTCCTGCCAAGGGTCACTGCTTAATTGGTTATTGGACTTGTTGCAAGGGTGCTAGGTTTGGCAGGCTAATATGGCATGTTGAGGGGCGAAGTAACCTACCTAAAGAGGCCCTTAGGTGAGATTGTGTAGCTACACAAAAGAGTGTCAAAACTACAGGATGTCAGCTTTGACTGTTTGCTGAGATACAAAAGCTATTTCCTTTCTACATCTTTAAGGGGCCGGGCTCCCAAATCTAACCCTACAGGATATACCTCAGTGTAGAATATATGTTTAGCACACATGAAGGCATAATTATAACCTCCAGGATGAAAAATGGGTCTTCAGGCTGTCACAATGGTATGTGTCTAGAATCCAAGCTACTCAGGAGAATGACACAGAACTGTCTGAGCCCAGAAGTATGAGGCTCTCAAAACACTCAAGACAAACACTCCAAGAACTACAAAAAAAAAAGGAAAACAAGCAAACAAACAAAGGCTAGAGACATAGCTTAATGGGAGCTCAAAGGGAGCACGTTTGCTTGGCATGCGTGAGGTTCTGGGTTTGACTCTTGGGAATACTACATAAATAAAAAAGGAGTAAGGATGGATTCACTCCCAACCAACATCAACAGATAAAAAGAAGAGCAACCCAGGATGAGACAGCTTCACTGGTAAGTTCTACTACACACTTAAAGAATAAAAATACTTTTTTTTTTTTGCGGAACCAGG